GAAATGGAGAGGCAGAGGAGAGAGAGTGTGTAGAGGAAGAGAAACAGTTCTGTCATGCATTTCAAATGACTAGAGCCAGTCATTTCTCAGCATTGAGAAAAGCAGGAATGTCAAACAGGCCCTTCATGCTGTATTTATGTTTAAAATCAGGCCTAACAGAAAAAACCTGAAACTTTACCTACCATTGGAGCCTTGCCAGAGTCCAATGAATACATGTCAGGTGATTGGTTGGCCTGGAGCTGGAGGGTTGATGGCCCAGGGAGTTCAGGTATACCTGGAAGCAGAGATGTATCTGAGGTGATTCAGGGCACAACTCAAAGGATGGCACCAGGCTGCCCTTTCCAGACTCCCTCAATAATGCTAGTATCAGTTTCCTCCACAGAAGCATGTGCCAGACTTCAGATGGTTGGAGCTGGCATTTCAGAGTTGTTCATTGTGAAACTCCTAAAGACAACAGGTACATTCTTCCTAAAATGGCTACACAAATGAAGCATGTTCCTCTGGTCCCCAGTTCTCTGGGTCCACCTTTGTTGCTTCCACATCTGTAGTCTGAAGAGCATATGCCTTCCTCCCCACCCCTTGGTAGCTCCTCCATTGTCATCTTTGCGAGGATGGGTTTGCCTTGTTAAAATGTGTCCCATGTATTAAAATAAAATTGTCACTGTTGGGAAGTACAGCCTAATATGGTTTGACACTTTGTGCCAGCAGCTATAAAAAAAACAGGCTTTTATTGCATTTATTCTTTCAGAGAAGAGTCTCTTAAGACTCACAGTAGACATTCCCTTAGTTAAAGCTGAATGAACCCAAAGTGAACAATCTATGCTACTCTTCGTGTTCAAAAGAACAGCCCCCATCTGGTCTGATATGGCTGTAAAACAGTGTTAAGAAAAGATGATCATGTTTAGAAACCAAAAGGGAAGACTTGAAGTGTTCAAACCAGAACAAAAAGTATTGCAAATATTGGGCATTTGATTTTCTTTTCTTTTCTTTTTTTTTTACTTTTTTCTATTTTTCTTTTTTCCCTGGTACTGGGATTTGAACACTATCCCTTACCTTTCTTACTCAAGAGAGTGGGTAGAGCCATAGCTCTACTTCAGCTTTTTAGTGGTTAACTGAAGATAATAGTCTCAAAAACTTTCCTTCCCTTGGGTCTGGCTCCAACCTAGATCCTCAGATCTCAGCCTCAGCCTCCTGATAGCTAAAATTAGAGCGATATACTACTGTACTGGTGCAGCTTATTTTCTTTCTTAGCTTGCTCTTTGTTGCCTAAGACATCTAATGTAGGATCAGCAAGTACACATCCCCACTAATCCCAATCTAATGTTGGTCTACATTTAGGATTCCGTGTCATTTTAAAACAAAGAGAAAATATTTGATTTGTAGAACTTTGCAAGCATGCTTTAGAGTTTTTTGGTACTTTTTTTTATTGTAACAAGACTGTACAGAGTGGTTACAGTTACACGAGCAAGGTAATGAATACATTTCTTATTGAGCATTGTTGCCTCCTCCTTTGTTTTTCCCTTCCATCCCTGCCTTTTATCTAGATCAGCACCCAAAGAGACCAAACAGAGTAAGGGACTCCAGGGCATTTGAGTTTCATTCTGTAGCTCTCCTGGAATAAAAATTCCATAAAGCAACATCTGTAGTCATTAAAGGCTTGTATTGCCTCTGCCATTCATGTCTCTTCTAGGAAGAAATATTTTTTTTCCTAAGAGATGGTAGATAGTAGATCCTGGTGGGAAGATAGGAAGAGTAGAGTTCAAATTCTTTTGTTCCTGGGAAAAGAAATTTCCCCTCTTAAAAAAAAATTAAGCAAGCCAGGCATTGGTGGGTCTCACAACTGTAATCCTAGCAACTCAGAAACCTGAGATCTGAGAATCATGGTACAAAGCCAGCCCAGTCAGGAAAGTCTGTGAGACTCTTAGGTCCAATTAACCACCAGAAAACCAGAAGTGACACTGTGGCTCAAAGTGGTAGAGTGCTAGCCTTGAGCCAAAAAGAGCTCAGGGACAGTGCCCAGGCACTGAATTCAAGCCCCATAACCACCACCCCACCAACAACAACAATGTCAGTAACAAATTAGGCAAATTTGAAGTTACATTGAAAGATTCCATTGGAAGAAACATACCTGAAAAAGTGGGGAACCTGTATTGTAGTGAATACTTAAAATAAAGATCATTCCTGCCTCTCATCAAAATAGCTTCTGATTTGAAGGCATTTATGATTAAATAGAGAAAAATGTTATGTTTGTTTTAGTTTTTAGTTCTTTTGTATGCATATGTTCTTATTGTGGGGCTTAAACTCCTGACCTTAGGCCCTCTCTTAGCCTTCTCATTCAAGGCTGAGGATCTACTACTTGAGCCACAGATCCACTTTTGGTTTTGCTGCTTAACTGGAGATAAAAGAATTATAAACTTTCCTGCCTGAGCTGACTGTCAAGCCATGATCCTCAGATCTCAGTCTCCAGTCTAGCTAGGAGTACAAGTGTGAACCATCAGCACCTGGCTTAATTTTTAGTTATCGAAATGCTATTAGGCTAAAAGAACTTTTTCATCTATACATTAATTTGTTCTTAAGATTTCTTCCAAGCTCATGAGAATCTTACCTCCAAAAAACTACCAAAAAGCCAGAAATGGAGCTGTGGCCCATACTATAAATTCTAGATCCTAATAACCCCAATCTAAATGTTTTAAGATCTTATTGATTTGGGAGAACTTTCTGATTTGGAAGGACATGATAAAAATTATCATTAGACATTTTAAATATTAAAAAAGATTTCTTCCAAAATAACTCTTATGTAGGTCTTTTTATCATCTAAAAAAATGAATACTTATCTGATAACTTCAATCCAATTCCCCAAATTTTCTTTTCATTTCCAGATAAGCTATAAAGTTAGGAGGGCCTGTGAAAGATGGCAATGCAATATTCCTTGTTAAAAAGTAAATATCAGGGGCTGGGAAGGTGGCTCAATGGTAGAGCGCTTGCCTTGCAGGCATGAGGCCCTGGGTTCGATTCCTCATCACCACCTAAACAGAAAAAGCCAGAAAGTGGCACTATGGCCCATGTGGTAGAGCACTAGCCTTGAGCTGAAGACCTGAGGAACAGTGCCCAGGCCCAGAGTTCAGGCCGCACGACTGACAAAAATATAATAATAATAAATAAAGGTTAAATTTTGAGATAGTTATAACATAGCTTTCAACATAGTTCTCAAGTTCATGCAGTTGATCTGGCTGCTGATAGGAGTTTTCATGTGCACCACTACTGAACGATTTTATTCCACACTTCATAGGAATGTGCACTTAAAGCTAAACTTTAATTTGTCAGAAAGTAATTACAATAATTCATTGATATTGATGAGGCGGTGCAGATACCCTGTTTGCATTCATGGTCTCTCTCTGAGACTCTCAAGTGAGCATTGCACTCACCTAAGTGTTCTCCTCCTTTCACCTGAATGTGCAGAAGATGCAATTTGTCCTAATTTCTTTTCCAACACCTGTTCTGCTGTTGAGCTGCTTCCCTGAGTTCTGCTCACTTCTAGGACTCTCACCTGTAAATTCCTATCACTTTAATAAATATGTGTGATCTATTAGCATGTATTAACATTTTCCTTATTTTATTTCTTCTACATGTAATATGTTTATGTAATATAGCCCTGAAAACACACCTAAAATTTACACACTGGAAAGATTACAACTTACATCAAAACCCTCTGTTCAGAAAGCACATATTAACAATCTAAACAAAACAACAAAATACATGAACTTATACTTTACCTTTGGATGCATTTCAGACATTTCATATATATTCTTTCATAGCTATGTGCACTGTAGGTGAAGCTTGCTTTTGCTTCTTGTTGTATTCTGAATAAGTCAGTTTTTGTTAACCAGAATCAACTCTAATTTTTTATTGCTCCCTTGAATTTTTATAAAGTAATAAAGGCCAGTTATAATTCATAACTTACAAATCATTGTAAATAATATTGTGCTTGAGATATGGAAGCACTGCCAAGACTCTCTCTAAAAATTCATCCTTTAGGGCTGGGAAGGTGGCTCAGTGGTATAGTGCTTGCTTTGCATGCCTGAGGCCCTGGGTTCGATTCCTCAGCACCACATAAGCAAAAAGAAAAAAGCCGGAAGTGGTGCTGTGGCTCAAGTGGTAGAGCGCTAGCCTTGAGCTGAAGAGCTGAGGGACAGTGCCCAGGCCCAGAGTTCAGGCCCCATGACCGGACCCCCCCCCCCAAAAAAAAGAAAATTCATCCTTTAGACAACAGTATATGAGAAGTAAAAATTTACACAAGAACCCTCATTTAGAAATATTACTATTTTTAAATATTTAAAAAACAAATAAAAGACTGTCCAACATTCAAAATTGAGAACATATAGAATCTCAAATAACTCTTTTTAAACATCTTTCACATGCTAACTTTTCAAAAACAATGTCAGGTTGCTGAGCCGTTCACTATGGTATTGTTTGCTCTTCTGGGCAATGTACTGTTCAAACAAAACAGTAGAGTGTGTAGAGACCTTTATGTTGTTATTGTACAGGCTTAAATATTGTGGAAACATCCCTTTTGTATCCTGATTTCAGCATTTTGTTATTTCCCTTCCCCTCCCCAAATTAGAAAATCCATCTTTTAAGTTCCTGCTTTACCACTTACTGAAGAGATAACATCCCCTTCACCATTGGTGCCCTCGTTGGTATGACATAGGTCATAAGGTCACAGGGTTTCCAATGGGTTTAGCATACCTGTCACCATCATCACAGACAACTCTCTGCGTAGGGAGGCTACTCTCAACACTGATGATTCTGTGTTGTTTCCCATCAGCCTGATTATTGTCATCATGTCACCAGTTGATAATTCACATTAAATTGTCAAGATTTTCCATTGCTTTCTCACTTTCTTTTATCTTTTCCCTTTCTTTTCTTTTATCTTTTTTAAAAAAACCAATATGAACAAAATGACACAAGTATATGATCTCTTCTTTGCTTTCTTTTCCCAGGATGGAGTCTACTGAAAAATGTGAAGTGGTAATTCAACATTTTAATGGAAAATACCTGAAAACACCACCAGGCATCCCAGGTAAGAAATGTCATTACGAAATCACTCAAACCACTGCTAGATTTATTGCTGTTATTCAAATGAAGATATAATAAAGCCTTTCTTGTGTGTGGGAAAAGTTTGTTTTTATAGATGTGCATTTACATATAGTAACTCATCTTCCTCAAAAGTGTCTTGGTGATTATTTTTTAGTTTTTCTTTGAATCTCTTTGCATACTTCTACAAAGTGATTGAGAAGGAAAACACAGCAAAGAAAAGAGAATGCACTTGAAATGAGATCAGTTAATGACTCTTAATATAAATAACCTTGATGTATAATTAACAAAAGAGCTAAACATGGCAAGCCCACAGATGGATGCCAGACCCCAACCATCTCTTACCAGCCCATGTAAACAAGAATACAGAGAGGGCAGTAAATTTAGAAACTTACGTAGTTTAGCTCTGTCATGAAATCTGAAGGGAATAATTTTATATTTTACATAAACATCAGTTGCTACACACTAAAAAAATTAAAAACACTCTCCATTCACTAGGAATAGTTCCAATCTAGACACTCCAATGACATCTTACACTTTCAAGGCAAAATTCTTAAGGTTTCACACATACCACTACAATGACATACCTCTATAGCCAGGCACAGGTGGCTCATGCCTGTAATTCTAGCTACTCAAGAGGCTGAGATCTGAGGATCTCACTTTAAAGAACAAAAATGCAGGAAAGTGCTTAAAGCAAATCAAGTAAGTTTATTTACTGGTAACAGGAGAGAAAGAAGAGTTAATAGAGCCTATCCTGGTGGCTGACTCCTGTGACCCTAGCTTCTCAAAAGGCTGAATGGGATACGTGGATCCTGGTTTAAAGCCAGCCAGGGCAGGAAAGTCTGGAAGTCTTATCTCCTATTATCACCTAAAAGCCAAATTGGAGGTGTGGCTCAAGTGGTACAGCTTGTGCCTTGTGTAACAAAGTTAAAGGACAGTGCTTAGGTCAGGAGGAAAAACTGGAAGGGGATTAGAAATGGGGGGAAGGAGAAGGAGTGGAGGAAGGGAGGATGATGAGGAGGTGGTTGCTAGTGGGAGTTGACTACGTAAAGTGGGAAATTTCCTGTTGAGTCTCTTTGACTGGAGCAACCAGATGTTTGGTTCCTGGGTCTCTCCCTCCTAAGAAAGTGTGTCTTTGGTTCCCGATTCCCTTTCCTGTTAGGGAAACCTCTCTCTCTCTAGTTTTATAGGTTAAATTCGGCTAAGCACTGTTGGAAGCCACTGTGACTGGATCCCTCCTCCCCAGAACCTGAACACATAAGTTCCTTTCTAATTGGATTCCTCCCACTTCAAAGCACAAAGGCAGAAGTGGGAGGGCTTGCTTTCCTCCTTGCCTTTCCTAACAAGCTTTCTGATTGGATCCCTTGCTTTGGAACTCCAGCAAGAAAGTTCTTTTCTGATTGGATCTTCCCACATTGGCGCATGAAGGTGGAAATGGGAGCGCTTGTCCTCCACCATACAACTTTTGTAAGCACATGTGTCCGTCTTGGAATCCTACACGTCCAACTGGGTACAAGAGAGATGATTTGTTCTGTCCCATCGTTCCTCTCCACGTTGACCTTTATTCCAATTGCCATTTTCTTCTTCTAAATACTTAGCTGAGTTCAACTAGCTATCCCTATCTTTAAAAACTAAAGAAGAGCTAACCTGAGAAAAATAATGGGTAAAGAGCTGATAATATATAATGGATAATGGAGCTGATAAAATATAATGGATAAAGAGCTGTTTGCCTACTGGGCATTGACTCCCTTTCCCCTTTGTTATGTTACTTCTCAGGGGAGAAAATGCAAATTCTTCCGTATTTTGTTTTTGCTTTCTAAGCCAGATTCAACAGTGTTTGTTCCACAATGCATGTTCTATGTAAAACCCATTTAGAGACTTTGAGGATTTTGTATTTCCATTCCTTAGACCAGATTGAGGTTGTATAGAAGAGGAAATGTGAACACAAGGATCAATATTATTGTGTCAGGGCTTTTATGACTCGATTGGTATGAGAGGATGTCAAGAAAGCAGGAAGATCCTCCATGCCATGTTCGGGTGATGTGGAAAATCCAAAGAGGCTGATCACCAGTTAATCAGCAAGTAGGCACACAGGATGGCTGGCCTTGATTTGGTTAACTTCCATTTAGCACATTCCCTGGAGAATCGACTGCATTATGATCCAATCACAGACATATGGTGTTGTTAAGAAACGAGTTAGCAGTTTTCATCTCAGCATGTAAGCTGCCCTTGCATTTCAGAAGACATGCTATTTTCTCTCTCTCTTTCTCTCTCTCTCTCAGCATAAATAGGCATTTTAAGACATTTTGCTCAGACTTGTCATTGGACAGAGGAGTTGCATGGTTAGTGAGTTTTTTTCTTATTTATCCCAGTTTATCTAACAGATGCCTGCATACTTTGAAGGCATTCAACCTAGATGTGAATTATATGACTGTGTAAAAAAAATAAGCACACTATGTAGAATTGCTGTTAATCAAAGTTTCAATACAAGGTATAACTTTCTAGGTTTCTTCCTTTTGGGGTAAAATATACTGAAATCCTTCTTGACCTGATTGACTTGAAAATATCCTTTTTGATTTTCCCCAAGATCATTCAGCTGAAAAATATAATTTAATGCTCAAGACAAAGCAAGTGACTACAAATCCCCAAATGTCCCAGCATCCTTCCTGAGTACATAGGCTGTGATATTAACCTATGTAATATCATAGCTACACCCAATGGAGATATTGTGAATAGCAGGAACTTGGTTATGAGTTTCTCACTCATATCTCATGGGAGTAAGGAAAAATAATAGTTTGGGTCAGTTATAAAACTCATTGAGATATAACTTTATGCTTCTAAGCATTGCATTCAATATAATAGAATTAAATATATAATGTCGATCAATAGTACTTGAATTTGCTTATTTATACATTATTTTAGAAACCATATAGAGCTTCATAAAAGCTTCAAATGTTAACTAAAGATACTTAACATTGATATGTAGATTTTTATGTGGAACAAAAAGGCTATAATATAGGATTGGGGTATTTTGGAAGGTACAGAGTAAAATGTCCACATTGGATACAATTTCTAAGTCATGACAAGGTATAATCAAATGTAGGAAGTGCTGTCTACCTTTATTTCTCTCTAGCTTAATCATTTATACAACTGAAATATTCTCAGACTTATCTTAAGCCAACTTTCTGTTTGTATTGAAGGCAGAGTGGAATATCACAAGAAGCCCTCATAACAGGTTGGAGAAAATACCATGTTTTTGTTTTGAACAGACCAGTTTCCTAAACTTGTTCAACATAATACTTTAGAGAGCTTACCCTTGCTTGTTGACATACTAACTAAAACCAATACTGATTAAACTAAAGTGAAAATATCATTAAAATTTGGAAAACCTTAATATTCTATATTGTCATGATTTAGTGTGTTTGAATTCAGAAGTTTATAATGTTGCAGAATGAATATTAATGATTTCCATGCATTGCTTTCAAATTAAGTGAATGACTGATACCCAGTGATCCTATAATGACATGACAGCTTCAGGTCCTAATCAAACTGACATAAATGTTGAATGCTGACTCATACAGCAATCTTTGAGGATAGATGAGTGAGTCAGCATTCTAAGCAAGTGCAGTGCACTTGGTGCCATGGGGTCATTGCTTACTTTCCAATTTAGGGATGACGTAGGGAAGCATTCATGTGTCATTGAGCAAACAGTATCATTTTTATTTCTGTATCATATATATATATACATGCATATATGATATATACATATATTCCTTAAGTAGCTGTACGAAAGGATTCCATTTCAATATGTCGATTTATAACTACCATGTGTCTCGATCAATGTTACCCCTCCCATCATCCCCCCTATCTCTATCAACGCCATCCATCCCTTCAAGTTTTCTAGTTCTATTTTCACATAAGTATATTGGATATTAAGACTGTATTCACCCTTCATTCCTCTTTCCTTCCCTCTGCTGTCACCCCTCTTGACCTTCCATCCCAGAGCAAAAATGTTTCAGCTTCCTATAGTATTCATTGTGTTAGACTGAAATTATTATTTGAAGGAGTTACAGCATTGCAATCTTCCCAAGTGTGTCATATGATCTGCAATACATTTGGATATCTATGATATGACCCTATATATGTTTTCATATATGTTTTTCTGTCAACGATGATTGTTGTAACAGGATGTGAAAAATGTATTATTTTGTCCTGATGCGATAAACTACTTCCCAAATCCCCATTAGTACCATTTCTATAAAAGAGCACAGAGATAACTACTTCAATCCAAAACTTTGACATGATATTAAGTTTCAGATTTTAAAACTTCATAATTAGGGGTACTGAGAAGGATATATAATATTGATCACACTTATACCACCACCATCACTTTTATTTGGATCATTGTAAAGGATAATTTGCTCATTAAACTGATTCATGCTCCTATTGAGCTTCAATTCCTGACAGATGATCTGAATTGAAAGCAACTTTCATATATAGCTGGTTATGGATCATCTTTTCTCCCTTTATGGGACCCTCCTGCTTATGTATAAAGAAATCAGAATTTTGTTTGTTGTTTGTTTGTTTGTGACAAGGTCTCACCAAGTAGCCCAGGCTAGCCTGGTACTTACTTGTGATGCTTCTGTCTCAAGTTTGCCAGTGCTAAAAAGACTACTGTTAATCAGTGCATGATAGATTATTAGCACCTGTCTAATGTCTCCAAACTAACACTGTTGACTTCAGATTATAATATTATCCTCATATTTTGATTGCTTGTTATCTGAATTATTGGAGACACGCACACACACACACACACACACACACACACACACACACACACATACATACATACACACACACATTTAGCACTAGCTAACAGAGAACAGGCATCAGGGTTTCCCTAGCAGGAAAGGAGAAAGGCCAGAAGTGTGTATTAAACAATGTCAATCAGGAGCACTATTTGATCATGCAGTATAGAGAAATAAA